AATTATATCTGGCTTCATCAAAGAGAATGAGAATAGCTAGTGGGTCTTCAATCTTTATTAAAAGAAAAAAGCATAATTTTGTTATTAAGCTACAATTTCCTTTTAAAGATGTACATTTTTTCCTACCCAATGTAGAATAAGCCAAAGCTATATACTGTATAGAGATAAGCCATTACTACTCTAGAGCAGGAGTTGGCAAACTTCTAAGAGGCAGACAACAGTGTCTTAAGCTTTATGAGCCATACAATCTCTGTTGCAAGCCCTCAACTCAACTATAGAATAAAAGCAGCAACTTTTTGTACAGACACTGAAATTTGAATTCCATACAATTTTCACATGACATGAAATATTGTTTTTGACTTAAAAAAATCATTAATGTTCTTAGCCTATAGGCTATATAAAAATAGGCAGCAGGTACCATATGGCCAAAGGTTGTATGTAGATTGCTAACCCTTGACTTAACAACTATTAATATTATCATCGGTTTATACTATGAGTAATTTATAGCATAAACTTACCTAAATCTTTATATTTATGAGACATTTTCCTATGATTTATGCTTCATAAAATGTAATAGTGAAGTCCAAGGAAGATAAAATGTGTCAGTTTTTAGAAGAACAATGTAGTTTAGATAAGGAAGTTTTAAGGCACATATTTTACCTGGGCTATGGAGTGACACCTTGTCTCAAAAATCACAACAGTGAGGCTGGAGAGACATCCCAGTGGTTAAGAGAATGCACCATTCTTTAAAAAAATTTTTTTTAATTTAATTTACTTTTATGTATATGAGTATTTTGCCGGCATGTACGCAAGTACACTATGCGCATGCAGTACCTGAAAAGGCCAGAAGAGGGAGTAGACTCCCCTAGCATTGGAGTTGCAGAGGGTTGTTAGCTGCCATGTGGGTGCTGGAAACTGAATACCACCAGTGTTCTTAACCGCTGAGCCATCTTTCCAGCCCAAGGCAAATATTTTTAACTTTATTTAAATAAAAAGACTACACTTTCAAGTACATTATAATATTTTCTTAAGTTCTAAACATCCCATAGGATTAATAAGACTGGGAAATGCTATTCTATAGAATATTTCTACTTGGAATTAATAATTATAAAGTTTCTGAGTATTTCCAAATATAAGTCAGACATGAATTCTTTATGGCAAAATGATTTTGTCAAACCCAATAAAGTAAGTCTATTTCTTTTACCTTATAATACTCTATTTATACAAATTTTTTTTTTTTTTTTGAGACAGGGTCTCCCTGTAGCCCCAGCTGTCCTGGAACTCACTATGTAGACCAGGCTGGCTTTGAACTCACAGAGATCTGCCTGCCTCTGCCTCCCAAGTGCTCGGATTAAAGGCGTGCACCACCACACCTGGCTATACTGGACAACTTTTACACTATTATAGAGCAGAGAAAACAGACTAAGTATACTTAGATTACTTGTAGTATTTTATAAATCTAATACATTTTAAAAAATTGTGGCAATGTATATAACATAAAACTTGCCATTTTAACCATTTATAAGTATACAATCAAATGGCATTAATTATATTTTCAGTGTTGTGCTAACATCACCATTATTTCCAAAGATTTCACATCCTGAAAACAGAACCTCTATAATCATTAATTTCTCAGACTGGAGGTATCTTAATAGAGTGACTGCTTAGTAGGTACAAGGTCTTGGGTGTGATCCCTAGCACCCAAACAACAAAACTCCCAATCTACCCAACCCCAATAGCTCTGGCAACTTCTAATATATTTCCTGGTTTCATGAATTTGCCTGTTCTAATTGATTAATGCAAATCAAATCATACAGTATTTATCCTTTGGTGTCTTTTCTCATTTAGCATTCATTTTCAAGGTTCACTTACAAATATCACAAACTCATTTATTTCAATCATTGAATATCATGTGTGCATACACACACACTACATTTTTCTTGTCCTATCATTTCCTGAATACCTAGGTTATTTTTATTTCTTGATTATTATGAGTAATAATGCAGTAAACAATGACATTTAAGTATCTAAGTTCCTGTTTTCAAGTCTATCAGGTAGACACCTTAGAAGAACTGCTGACCATATGGTAATTTTTTTTTTTTTGTCTTTTTGAAGCAGGGTCTCCCTGTAGCCCCAGCTGTCCTGGAATTCACTATGTAGACCAGGCTGGCCTTGAACTCAAGAGATTTGCCTGCCTCTGCCTCCCAAGTGCTGGGACTACAGGCATGCACTACCACACCCGGCTCATAGTTTTTTTTTTAACTCTGTGTGCGTGTGTGGGCATGTACATGTTCATGTTTGAGAATAGGAATGTATGTGAGGTCAGAGGACAACCTGTGTGCTGAGCTTATACCCTGCAACTTTCCCAAATTAATTTACTAGGTCGAGTATCTATCTTTCCTGTAGATTTTTTAGGGTTTCCTATATATAGGATCGTATCATTTGCAAATAAACAGTCTTACCTTTTCCTTTCTAATTTGGATGTCTATTTCTTTTGCTTATCTAATTGCTCTGATTAGAACTTCCAGGAATGTTAAATTGCAATGGTGAAAATGGGCATCCTACCTTGTTCCTAATCTCAGGAGGAAAGTTCCAGTCTTCTGAGTTTCTATAATGAAAGGTTACTGGATTTTGTCAAATGCCTTTTCTGTGACAACTGAGATGACTGTTCTTTCGCTTTTTTTCACTTATCCTATTAATGTAATTCTAATTTGTGTTTAATAATCTAGACTTTAGTGTTTGGTATATTTCATAAAGATGTAATGAAACTCCCAGTATATTTAGTAGAGAGGATCAAAATTATCTTTGTTTTTATAATATAAAGACAGTATTACCAACAAAAAGTGTCTACCAAGTTTGAACATAGCTGTTGAAATTTCCATGGGCTGACATTTGCTTAACCTTGTCTGCTTAATATACCTTTAGATAAATATTTATGAGGTACATTGGATTTATTTTTCTTTAACACAATTGTCAGATCTCGGAGATAGTGTTCATTTTTCTTTTTTCTTTCTTTTTTTTTTTTTTTTCTTTTTGAGACAGGGTCTCCTTGTAGCCCTAGTTGTCCTGGAACTTACTACGTAGACCAGGCTGGCCTCGAACTCACAAAGATTCGCCTGCCTCTGCCTCCTAAGTGCTGGGATCAAAGGTGTGCACCACCACGCCCGGCGATAGTGTTTATTTTTCAATTTTCATAGATACTACTATGAAACTATCACACCTAGTCTGTTATAATCTCTCTCTTAGGTTCCTTCTTTGTCTATATCCTTCTTATGACATTATTATGTTTTCTCTAAAATCTACAGTAATTCAATCCAGACATTTGTGCTTGGAAAAGATCTATCAAATTTAAATTCTGTTCTTAACTTTAAATGTAATTATCTGTTTAAGTCAAGATTGAATACTATCCTCCTGCTTACGATAACTTTCTTAGTCCCCTTTGCAAAGGTTTTCTTCTCTTCCTAGGGTTTTGTGTGTCTTTTTCTTCCTGTTCTCTCTCCTATACCTTCTGTGAAATTCATAAAACTGACTGGCCCTTTAAACAACACATTCTAGTCTAAAAACTTATTTTCTGTACAAATTATCTCTCCAATTGCTAATTTTCTTTTTTTTTAAAAAAATATTTTATTATTTTTATTTTATGTGTATGAGTGTACTGCCTGCCTGTATGTGAGTGCACCCATGTTGTGAAATGCCTCGGAGGTCAGAAGAGGGCTTTGGATTTCCCTGGAACTGGAGTTAAGGACGGTTTGTAGCTGCCATGTGGGTGCTGGGAATTGAACCCAGGTCCTCTGCAAGAGCAGTCAGGGCTCTTAACCACTGAGCCATCTCTTCAGCCCACTAATTTTCTTTAGTATGGCTTCCCTATTTCTTTTCACAAAAGGGGTCGGGGGGAATGTATCATTTAAGGTAAAAGAAGTAAAAGGGTAAAAAAAATACCAAATAAAAGTTTGTATACCCAGCAAAACTCTGACACTTAAGACTGGGATGTAATGATTGAACAGAAAGAAATGTTCCTAGTATAGAATCAGCACAATTTGACCTCTACTGCCTACAGTGAGAGCCCAAAAGACTGCGTACGTTTAAACAATTTTAAGTAATATTTCTAAGCAAACCTTTTTCTCAACTTCTAAAGGAAGTCCCACATCTCTTCTTAGAAAAAGCTGTGGTGTTTCTCTTTGGGGATCCAAATTAGTCAATTCAGCAAGTATTTCTGGCCAGTCACGAACTTGTTGCAATGGTTTATGATAAGGCTTGAGCTGAAGGCCTGAAAGATAGCTTTCCTTTTATAAATGATACTGTAAAAACAAATCAATTATATCAATGTAGAGGAATTTTATATTAAATTATCCATACCTAAGTACCAAGTAGACACTGTGTAAATATCTAAATTTAAATCAACGTTTAATATTTTACTACCCAAATTGTGGATAACTGCTTGTTTTTTTTTTTGGTCTTTTTGAGACAGGATCTCCCTGTAGCCCAGCTGTCCTGGAACTCACTATGTAGACCAGGCTGGCCTTGAACTCACAGAGATACGCCTGCCTCTGCCTCCCAAATGCCAGGATTAAAGGCTTGCGCCACCAAGCCCAGCTAATAACTGCTTGTTTTTAAAGAACATAATTTTAAGAATAGTGCTAGGGAGCCAGGTGTGGTGGTACTTGAACACACCCAGCACCTGGGGGAGAGAAGCAGGAAGACCACAAGTTCAATGTTATCCTTCAGTAGGTTTGAGGCCAGTCTGGATTATATGAGACCCAATCTCAAAAAAAAAAAAAAAAAAGGAAAAAGAAAAGAGTATTCTTGGGCTTGGGCTGTGAATTAGTATTTGTAAAGACCTTTATGTATTTACAGTAAACTTTGAAGGACAAATCTAGGGTGACATTGGGTTTATTTTTAAATAAAAAGGTTGATCAAAAAAAGTAACATAAAAAAAGCATTTTAGCCGGGCATGGTAGCGTGCGCCTTTAATCCCAGCAGAGGCAGAGGAGGCAGGGGCAGGGGCGCAGGGGGGCAGCTGTTCACATTGTGACTTCCAGGTCAGCTGTGACTAGAGAGACCCTGTTGAAAAACAACCAACAACAACAACAACAAAAAGCATTTCAATAATTTTGAGAAAAACACAAAGGCAAGTAATATGAAAGTTAATTTAATGGGATTCAAACCAAATGGATTGCCAGAGAAAACTTCCAGTTTTTACTACTTTCAAAATGTTTTGAATGAAGTAGGGGAGGGAGTCTACAGGTGTTCTAGTTTGTCTCTCCATTGTTGTGACAAAACACTCCAACCACTACCGACTTGGGGAGGAAAGGGTTTAGTTGTCTTACATCTCCTGAGTCACAGTTCATCAGGGAGCCCAAGAAAGGAACACAGGGCAGGAACCTGGGGGCAGGAGTTGGAGCATAGCATAGAGGCATACTGCTTATTGGCTTGCTCCCCTGGCCCTTGGTCAACTTACTTTCTTATACAACATAGGCCCACCTGCCCAGGGGTAGCACCACTCACAGTGGGTTGGGCCCTCCCACATCACTCACAATCAAGAAAATTCCCCCACAGACATGGCCACAGGCTGGTCCAATGCAGGAAATTCCTCAGTTGAGGCTCCCTCAACCCAGGTGTGTCAAGTTGACACTAAAGCTATCCAGCACAACAGGTTTACCTATTTTAGCAGTGTGAACATTTTAAACTTTTAAAGTCAACAATAAATGTCATACAAGTTTACTAACTCACTCCCAAAAAGGAAAAATGAAGTTTAAACAATAAAATAAAACCCTCAAAACTGTCTTACTAAGGTTTTCTGAACAGATCCAAATAGTGAAATACTGCTGAGTTTCTTGAGAGAGACGCATTCCTTCCATTATCTGCTGTACTGTGGTATTATTTCCATGCTTCAGTTCAACAGAACGATACGATCCATCCATTCTGTAAATTCGAACCTTTTCATACTAGGACAAAAAAAAAGTCATGGAAGCTGTTTAAAAATTACACATCAAGAGACTGAAGCGATGGCTCAGTATTAAGGGCGTTTGCCATTCTTGTAGAATACTGAAGTTCAATTCCCAGCACCCATATTGGGAGGTTCACAATTGCCTGTAAGTCTTGTTCCAGGGGACCCAACACCCTTTTTTGACCTCCATGGGCACCTGCACACTTGAATACATATACATAGGCACACACACACATATTTTAAAAAGTATGTATCATGTGGGCTCAGAGGTTAAGAGCACTTGGGTTTGGTCCCCAGCATCCATATGGTGGCTTAACAACTGTCTAACTCCAGTTCCAGGGGATCCAACACCCTCTTCTGGCCTCTACAGGTACTGCATATACATGGTACACATACATCCATACAGACAAAACACACAAAAGAGATTTTGAGCTAGTTTCCTTACTCCAGTTCAGAAAATCCCAGACAGCTGTGGCATTATCAATAGATTTTTATTGTTGCAGCTAATCTTCCAAATAATTTCTAGGCTAATTCATTTTGGATTAAAGTACCTGATTCCTTTTATCACATTTACAATACAAAAAAAAACTGTACATACTCACACACACAAAACACACGATGCTAGGAAATCATCTATAATTTCACTTTTGGGAAGAGGGAAATGAGTTTGCTATACACTAACTTGCTGGGACTGACTTCATGAATGATGTACAATGCTGCTATTTACAAATTCAAAATGTTGTTCAGGGAGATATATTTCAATGAGTGGGGCTATTTATAATTAACACAGCCATGCATAATGTAACATTTTGGTCAATGACAGAACCACATATATAATGATACCATATATATGGCACTATATACCACAATGCCTACATATGTAGTATGCTAAATCATGGATGTTTGTGTAAATATATTCCATGATGTTTGCACAATGCAAAAATTTCCAATGATATGCATCTTAGAATATACATAATAGTTTTATACTTGTTATATGAGATTAGATTAGGTTGAGATTATACTAGAAAACTGAAATTTGAGGGGGTAAAGGGGATTAAACTTAGGGCCTTTTGCATGCTAAGCATATACTCTACCACTGGGTTATATACATATCTTTGAAATTAAGATTAATTTTAAATGTCTTGAAAATTTTATTTATTTTTGCAAGTTTCACTTGGTTATATAAGGACAAATGTCCTAATGTCAACAAATTAAATATATATATAAACTCTAAGACTCATGTTTCATGGTACTAAAGAAGTCAACCACCACTTTATCTTTCCACTCTTAATATAGATATTCAAATTACCTATCGGTTTAAATGTAACATTTGGCTCTAACTATGAATGAAGATAATTCTTACTGGTTTGTTAATGGCTTCCTTCAACAATTTTGCAGCTTCTATCCAGTTATTTTGTTTACTTTCTTCACAAATATTTAATGGAGATCTTCCTTGTTGGTCTGTTATGTGCTAGATATAGGGGAGGGATTAGAAAAAAAAAGATATAATAAATACATGGTGTTTTAAAGGAAATATCATTCAATCAATACTGAAAATGGAAATTTGGGGGAGTATTTTTATTTATTCAATAAAAATACTCTAGTCAAATATTTAAGTAAATATTACTCATACTTTGTATTTATTATACTTAAATAGAAATTGCCAAAGCCAATTGGCAAAGTAATAATCAAAGTAATAACAGGATTATGGTTTCAAAAGTTCAGTTATAAGAAAGGTTTTCAGTTTTATTTTCCCTTTAATGAAATATTTATTACAAATTCTAGAAAATGGGTAAATGGTTTTCTTTTTTCCAGACATTTTTGGGGAAATACAATATATAATGAATCTATGTACATTATGGAGATGGATAGATGCAATGAGTTTATAATAATGTGAATGTACTTAATGTTATGAAGTGTACATGTAAAAGTGGTTAAAATCACAAACTACATGAAATGTGCTTTATCACAACAAAAGCAATTTAAAACTTATGGTCAAAAGTACAGTTAACTCATAAGTATTACTCTATAAGCAAAATTTGTTTTTACTTTTCAGCTGACTTCTCAAGTATACAAGTAAACATTTTTATGTCACTACTTGTTAGTTACTATTTGAACATTTAAAAACTAAAGCTGGGAAATAACTTACTCTGTCAATCTCTGGGTGGGTTAGGAGAATCTGTACTATTTCAGCGTGTCCTCCTCCAGCAGCAAAATGAAGAGGTGAGCTAAGCTGGCCATTTAAAAGGTTTGGATTACACTTGCCTTTCTCTAATAATATACGAGTGGCCTCAACTTTTCCATACCTATAAAAAAAAAAGAAAGCTTACCTAAAAAAGTCATCTGAAATGTTTATAAATTCAAATTTTAGATGAAATCTAAGTGTTTTTTTTTGTTTTTGTTTTTGTTTTTGTTTTTTGTCTTTTTGAAGCAGGGTCTCCCTGCAGCCCCAGCTGTCCTGGAACTCACTATGTAGACCAGGCTGGCCTTGAACTCACAGAGATCCGCCTGCCTCTGCCTCCCAAGTGCTGGGACTATAGGCATGCACCACCATGCCCAGCTTAAAATGAGATTTTTACAAAATATTTAATATTTTTTTTTCTTTTGAGACAGAATCTCACTATATAGTCCTGGCTGGCCTAGAACTTGCTATGTAGACCCAGGCTGGTTTCAAACTTGCAGTGATGGTCCTTCCTCTGCCTCCCAAGTGCTAGGACTACAAATGTGAGCCACCCTGCCTGTCCTAAACCATTCTGTATTCAAATTCCTATCAATCAAATGATGCACCTGATTACAACACAGCACAGTGACTTATATTACTCCCGTATTAAACTGACCATTATTTTCAGCTGTCAGAAGGTTAATTTGTCAAAGGAGAAAACTCTTTACATTTTAACAATTCTTTTTCTTCTTTCCCCTTCTCTGCCCTTCCCCTCTTTCATTCCTTCTGGCTGAGGACTGAATCAGAGCCTTTCATATATTAAATACATGCCATGTGACTGAGCTATCTTCCCAGTCTAATTATATTTATTAAAAACAAAGCCAACATGTATTGTATGTACTATGTGCTCTCAATTACTTTATTTGCATTTTCTATTTTTTGGTCTTTTTTGAGACAGGGTCTCCCTGTAGCCCCAGCTGTCCTGGAACTCACTATGTAGACCAGGCTGGCCTTGAACTCACAGAGATCCACCTGCCTCTGCCTCCCAAGTGCTGGGATTAAAGGCATGTGCCACCATGCCTGGCTCTCATTTTCTATTTTTTTAAAATATTTTTTATTTTATGTGTATGTGTATTGCCTGCATGTAGGTTAAGTGCACCCATGTTGTGCAATGCGTGCGGAGGACAGAAGAGGCTGTCAGATCCCCTGGAACTGGAGTTATAGACAGTTGTTAGCTGCCATGCGGGTGTTGGGATTCGAACCCAGGTCTTCTGCAAGAACAACCAGTGTTCTTAACTGATAAGCCATGTCTCCAGTCCCAACATTTTCTATTTTTATCTTATGAAAAGTACCATTTTAAACTCCATTTTGTAAATACATAAACAGACCTTTAGGATGTTAGGTAACTTAACAGTGAATTATTATACTTTTAGGAACTAACCATTGGTACTGAAACCTAGGTACATCCCAAAGCACATTAAATGTTACAGTATACTTTTGTTTTTATGTAATAGGTAGCTGAAAACAATTATCTTTATTAGAGAAGAATATAACCCCTTCTGCAAAAAAAAAAACAAAAAAACCAAAAAACCCAACCAAACAACAACAAAAAATACAGTCAAGTTTACACTCAGAATTCCTAAATTAAGATCCACTGTTATTATTGTCAATGCCATGGTGTATTTGGGGGGACTGAAAGGCACTCTACATCTTCTTTTTAGCTTTAAGTAATCATTATTAGTTACCTGAAGAAAAATCTACTAGATCAACTAAAGATGATTTAAGGCAATTCTTTCCAAATGTAAATATAAAAATCCCTTATAATGTAAAGCATAAAAGCACATTTGTAAAATTTTTTTAGAGACAGAAAAAGCATATATAGTAAACAACTATTTATTGTTACAAATACTAGAATCAGAGAAATCAAAAGAATTTTGAATTGGAAAGAACTCTAAAAAGGTCTAATTACTACTGGCTACTTTATGCAGTGCGGAAAGTTAAACCCAGGGTTTTGTACATACTTGGCAAGCCTTCTACCTTCAACCTTCTTCTCAGCCCTAAGTATTGTAATTTATATACAGATAAGTAAACTGAAATGCAAAGAGGTAAAGTTCCTTGCTCAATGTGACACAGCAAAGATACTATGTAGGAACTTACTAGGTAACAAACAATATAGTACTATTGAAAAAGGCTAATTGCTCTAAACAATAGGTCAAAAGCAATTTCCTTTTTTTTTTTTTTTGGTTTTTTTGGGTCTCCCTGTAGTCCCAGCTGTCCTGGAATCCACTATGTAGACCAGGCTGGCCTCAAACTTACAAAGATCTGCCTGCTTCTGCCTCCCAAGTGCTGGGATTAAAGGCGTGCACCACCACGCCCAGCCAGCGATTTCCTTTTTTAAAAATATTTTATTTATTTTTATTTTATGTGTATGATTGTATTGCCTGCATGTGTGTTAGTGCACCCATGCCATGCAATGGCTGCAGAGGTCAGAAGAGAATATTGGATTCCCCTGAAACTAGAATTAAGAGCCAGTGCTCTTATTTGCTGAGCCAGCTCTTCAGCCCCCAAAAGCAATTTTCTTATAGAAAAGTGGTATGACTATGTCTTTTTAAGACAATAAGCTATAGCATTCAGTTAGCTTCTGCCATGAACACTAAGAACTCAGCTCAGCCTAAGAAGTGTTAATATTATGTAGGAGTGCCAAGAAGTATATTGGAATATGAATAGCAAGAGCTAACCCCAATCTTGTTCTAGCCCTCACATCTTATAAAATAGAAGGTAGTGATTCTTTGAAGGGTAGACTTCTTCATACTAGTCTAACATGATGCAAAGTCAAATCCTATGTACTTAACAAATGTCAATTTTATAGTCTAAGAATAACCTAACGTAATACAAAACAACAGTAACTACAAGGGTGAATATGGACTGTGTGGTTCTCAGTGACATTAACTAGTTATTAACTATCTTCTTGAGTGACTTGATAATGAATAAGCAGGCTGACAGTACTTTTTTCATGGGGCAGATCTGGCAATTCTGAACAGTAGCAAATAATCAAAAGATCAAAACCAAAAGCTCAGAAGACAAACATGGTACTGAAATTGTCTGGAATGAGAATAGTTTTCTGATAAGAAACACTAATATTTATAACTATGTGTTCAATTTTTTTCTAAAACGAGTAATCTACTCACCAGCATGCATAATGAATGGGTGCCCAGTGGTCACTATCTAGTTGGTTTACTGAAAATCCCTTACTGAGAAGATGGCTTAGTAATTCTGAATCTCCTTCACAAGCGTTTCGATGGAGAGGAAAATCATCTACCCACTGTCGCTCTCTAAATATCAGAAAGAAATTTTTAAAATATAATAAACATTGAAATTCACATTATTTCAAAACAAATGTGATACATCTATGAAAACTGCTTAACAGTGCACAGCTGTAAGCTAGTGATCAGATACACTTTTAACAACAAGTTACAAGTTTTAAGACAGGCAAAATAGAGTAAAATAAAAACAGTACTTGTCTTCCATGACACTGCTCATGCTTCTCTGCCATTTTTCCTGCTTGGGAATTTGGATTTTTGAGTAGTCTGGAGCTCCTAGACCAAAGTATGGATTTATTACCACTTTATCTACCTAGAAAGGGGAAAGAAAACGCCTTCAAATAAAACTCCTTAAAAGCTTCAGATACTTGACTTTCATGCCTATAAGTAAAGCACTGAACTATCTTAATGTTGACAATGATGACAGGTATGTCTTTCTTATGAAGAAAATGACCATACTTGAAATGAAATGTCTTTTGTAACCAATTCAACTCTTACCCGATTTGTATATTGAAGATCTGATCCAAACAAAGGGTTGTAAATGCAGGTATCTGCTTTCTCTAGGGCTAACATTTTACTCTTTATTTCTAGAGCACTATAGCCCATGTGTAGTGAGTTTTCTGTCTGACCTGATTCAGTAGCATATGCAGGATTTATGACATTAGTTTTTATTCTCTCAAGAGGAGAAGGTCGGAATAAAGCTGGAATAAAATGAGACTGTGCATGTCGTTCATCTAACCACCTGGCAAAATAGAAAAGAAAGGCAATAGAAACACCTGTTCAAAAGTAAAGATGAAAAAGGTAGACTACTGTAGAACTCTCTTATGATACTTTCTAATACTCACTTTTTCTATAATTTTAGTGTTTAATTAGTGTTAAGTACTTAATAAAAGTTTTGTAAAAGGACATAGCAAATAATTTTTGCAAAATGTATGTATATGTCATTATAATCATAAAAACTTTCAAAAAGTACTGAAGTACTTTTAAATTTTAAACTACTGACAAGTGCTATTTCACAAAAGACAGGCTCTATGACTTGTTCACTGACAGGAGTAACTACTACGTCTAATTTTGTAATAGAAGAATCATGATCCTTAAACCAGGGCAGTGCTTATTTTTGAAAGATGAAAGTAACCTACTACAAGTAGACAAGACAGTCTTTGGCAATTTTTCATCCTTATCAACTGAAAAATTGACAACTTCTTAATGTAATGTTGTTTTCATTATTTTCCCCAGAAACATCTTTCAGACTAATTTCAACTATGGTTAATTAAAAATATTCTTAATGGTACTTCTTACTTATCCAAGGCTATTAACATCCTTGCTGTAAGTGTTGCAAAGTGAGTACTGGATTCACTACAAATTCTCATAATATCTTGCAAGCAGTAAAAAATTGGACATCCTGGAGTGTAAGTATATTTAGTATTATCTGAAAAAGAAAAATGAAGAATTATACCATTACGTAAACATTTACAAATACGTTCTTCATATATAGTACTGTTATAAATATTTGTGAAATATAATGGAAACTGTTCTGGGTTTGGAATTGGAAGGCTGGATTCAAGTGATACTTGGCTTTGTGGCTTTGTCCACTTAGGTAAATGGACGTTTATAATCTTAAATTTTAGTGTGTCTGTGTGTGAGTGTGGGTATGTGTGTGCTACAGTGCATGTATGGAGGTCAAGGGAAACTTTTGGGAGTCGGGTTTCACCTTCTACCTTGTTGAGGGAGGGTCTTTCTTGTTTCTGCCACCTTGTAGCATACTCCACGTTAGCTGGCCCATGAGTTTCTGGTCCATTTTACCATCTCATAGTAGGAGTGCTGGGATCCCAGATGCACACCACTGCATCTGGCTTTTTTTATGTTGGTTCCAGGGACTGAACTCAGGTAGTTAGGCTTATGTGGCAAAGTTTTACCTGTTGGGCCAGCTCACTGGCCCCAGCACTTACAAGTGTGAAAGATGACAGAATTTGTTTCCTGTTTCTTCCTCAGTAACACTGCAAATTTCCAATAGAGAGATGGCTCAGCAGTTAAGAGCACTGACTGCTCTTACAGAAGACCCGGGTTCGAATCCCAGCAACCACATGGTGATTAACAACCATCCATAACTCCAGTTCCAGGGGATCTGAGACCCTTCTGTCCTCCATAGGCACTGCATGACACAGGTGCACTTACATACATGCAGCCATAAGACTCATATACATAAAATAAAAATAAATATCTAATTAAAAAAAAGATTTCCAATTCCATCCAAACTGCTGGACTTTTAACTGGGTATGGTGGCCCAGGCCTTTAATCCCAGCACTTGGGAGGCAGAGGCAGGCAGATCTCTGTGAGTTCCAAGGCCAGCCTGGTCTACATAGTGAGTTCCAGGCCAGTTGGGGCTACAGGGAAACCAAAAAAGACCAAAAAAAAAAAAAAAAAAAAAGCTAGACTTTCAAACTTAAAAGCTGGACACAGAAACTGGCTAACAAAATACATGCAAATACGTGAAGCAGGTTGATGGGATATCTATGGTGGGTCATTAAAGTTCTCATCAGAATTATAACTATCTTACATGAAACCAAATACTCTATACTTTCCAAAGTAATTTCATATTGAGTGTCTCAATAAATTCTTTCCATACTATGACCCAAGTGGGAGCAGGTAACAATATTGTCTCTATTTATAAATAAATAGTTAAATCTTAAAGATTTGCCCCAAATCACAAAATTAATTAGCTTATAGGGTCTGTACTGAAACTCAAAACTGTTTTCTGTTATTCCATAATGTCCTTCAAATTAAATTTCATATTAGATCTGTGTTCTCTAAATGTTACTAATAATACTACTGGGCAAAGTATTTTAGAACTACTATTGATATTATTTGGCCTCAAATGAAGATGTATCTATTTCTATCCTATTACTAGCATATCCTTTGAAAAATCCCATTATAGCCAAAATTTTTTTCATTTTAATTATTTCTTCTCTCCTCACTTCTCCATCTTACTTTTAAAAACTGAAACAAAAACATTACTAATCAGCCAAGAAGCTACCTATTACTTTGAAATGAACACATTTATGGTAAGTTTTTCTTCTGTTAACTTAAAAACATGCATAATCCTATTACAGTACTAACTATAAATGTATATTCCTAATAGACTTCCAATTAACATCTAAAGCATATACAAATTTGCAAGATAAATTGGAGCTACCTTTGACAACTGATGGAACAATAAATAATGCTGCTTCTCTGCCTATCTTCTCTCCATCCAGGGGAAATTTCTTCATTAGTACCACTCGTTTTCCTAATCATAAAAAAAGTGATAAAAGATAAAATTAAGAGAATGTTTTGCTTGCTTGTTTTGTTGAGATAGAGTCTCCCATTGTAGCTTTGGCCTGGAATTCCACATGTAGCCCAGGCTGGCCTTGAACTCATGGTCCTCCTGCCTCAGCCTCCCAGGTGATGGGGTTATAGGTGCAACCACCATATCTGGTTAAAAACAATAGATTTTCTAATCTTATAAATTATTTTCAGTAATAGAAAATAAATTTTTAGGGGTTGAAGATATCCCTCAGTGTCAAACACTTGTCTGACATAAGCAAGGGTTTGGGTCTGTTATCTAGAAACACACAAAAAGCTTTTTTAAGGTTAAAAAATATATATGAAGCTAGGCGTGGTGGCGTACGTCTTTAATCCCAGCACTTGGGAGGCAGAGGCAGGCAGATCTTTGTGAGTTAGAGGCCAGCCTGGTCTACATAGTGAGTTCCAGGACAGCTAGGGCTACAAGGAGACCCTGTCTCAAAAAGACAAAAAAAAAATTCCATATATATAACCATATTATATGCACTAATAAAAACTGGTAATTTTGGTGTCTGGGGAGATGACTCTGTGTAAAATGCTTGCTGCACAAGTGTGAGGACCTGGGTTTGAATCTCTAGAGCTCACATAACACTGCACACAGTAGTACGTGCCTATAATCCCACTGTCCTACAGCAAGATGGGAAGCAAAAATGGGAGAATTCCCAGAAGCTTCAGCGTCAGCTAGCCTGGCATATGTCATTGCTAACAAAGAAATCCTATCTCAAACAAGGTGGAAGGCAAGGACTGATCAAGTTTGTCCTCTGACTTCTACACGTGTGATGTGCTACAGGTGTGCCAGCACTCATGCATGACTATACTCAGACATACAAATGCATGTGTGTGTGTACACACACATTTTTTTTGATTAAAAATAAATCTGGTAATTCTGACACTATAGGATCAACATATAGAAAATCAACTAATAGATTCAGGGTCATATTTTAACTTATGAGAAGCTTCCTATGAACAGCAAGGAAAATTGCTATTTGCTCAGGACTGAGACCAGCCTTCAACAGCAAGGCATCCTTCAGGGTCAAGAAACCCTATTGCATCACTTGGTTGGAATAAAGGTGGTAACATTTTATTACAATCTATTTCATCGAGGAAAAGTGGTATATGTAAGTTTCAAAATCTTAAATGTTCAGCAATGCTTAACATTCAATCTTCGATTCTCAATTTTAGTTTTTATTAAAATATGATTGGTGTAGAAACTACTGCTTTGTATTATAACTACCATTCACAATCTGTTTATCCTAATGTGGTAGTAAGGGCACTATAAATAATAATCTCTGTCTTGCACTCTAAATTCTCTCATCCTTACATATCTTGAGTATGATGTTTACCAACCTTTCCAACTTCCTTACTCCAAGAAATAGAATAGCTCCTATGTGGGATAACTCTATGGACCAGTAAATAATGGATTTCAAGTAGTTTTATTTATTAACAAAATATTAGTCTCTTTTGTGAGGATTAAGGCCTATTACAGTATAGATCCCAAAATTATTTTACAAAATGGACACTTATACAAAATATAAGTGGTAGATACAGAATAACATCCTAATAAATTTACAGGTACTATTTTTTCTATCTGACTTCAGGTCTTGTCCCTACTTGATCTTTCCTGCTTAATCCAGTTATTATCCCTTGTTAATTGTCCACTTTGTGCTCTTAGCAGGTCTATAACTCCATTACAGGTCAATAATTTCATTACAGAAGTAAAAATATCCACATACCAACTCAAAAGACCAATTCAAGAATTCCATGAATAACTGTGCTAAAGCTTTGAAACTATACATAGCCCTGTAAAAAATATAATACTTATCTACTGCTACTGTAGTCATTTGTGATGTTTCATGTGATGCTTATACAGGGAGTCATACTACATAAAAGTATCTCAAGAGGGCTAGGGTATAGCTCAGTGATGGAGAGCATGCATAGCTTGTATGAATCCTTGAGTTTGATCCCCAGCACCAAAACAGATAAAACAAAATAAAAATCTTATACCTTTATAAAAACTCAACTGAACAGTAGGAGATTCAGGATATGGTATGGCTCATTAGTATAACCTATTCAGCTAAGTAAAACTTCCCCCTTAATTTTTTTAAATTAAAAGCTGTCTGAAAACATATTACTACATTTTACTATCAAAGTATATAGGGCAAAATTTGCTAGATACGTTTCAGGGTGCCTATCCACTTGTAACTCTTCCTAAGGTTAACTATCTAGGCATCCAGGCCAGGGAATATTGTTGTTATCACTGATACCTCTTCCATACCACTTTGGTGTACGTTGCCTAATTTACAGAAAATTATGACTCATTTATCTCAACTTAAGTACGTGACAAGGCTAATCACACTCTGTCCCAGGAATCTGGTTTCATGATAAACCCTAATAAGCTATATCAATTTGGCAACAGTGGCTAAATCTGGATGAAAACTTATCAGAAAACTCAAAGAATGAGGCAGGCAAGACTGACAAATACACAGCATCCAGTTTTTCATATGTTTTAATAACTAGACAACCTTGCATTTTTTATAAACTGAAATTGTTTCTAGACCATTTCATTAAAAGCAAACCCAATAATTGGGGAGGCAAATTCTCTTTGTGAGACTAAT